GTCCAGGGAAGAAGTAAGCAGAGGTCACTGGTCAGCAACAGCCTCCCCTCTGCTTGGGAACAGTGGTATCTTTGCAGTGACATGCTATTGCCATGGCCCTTCACACTCTCCTCTGTTCCCAAAACAGCTCATACACATCTTCATGGGGTGACTCTGGAGAACAGAAACAAGGAGAAGGTATGAAGAATTCATTAGACATTCAGTTAACACCGCTAGAAAAAAAATGAGCAAGACTGAAAGCACAAAAGCTCTTCTGAAATAGCAGGAACAGGCTCTAAAATCACGTATGGTATTTGAGGACAATTACACTGAGTTTAACTAGTTACATTCATCAGGCCATCTGAGAGAGCAAGTAGCTGATACCTGGAAAACAGAGATGGATGTAAGCAATGGAGAGGTATTAAACTGGTTATCAGCTGCTGGGGAGGAAAGGGGGAGGAAGAGAGAGAGAAAGACTGGTAATTTACTGCCTCTATGACAGCCAACAGACGAAGCAAGAAAAGATTATAAATTGCTATAAACCCAAGATTGCTACTGGGCACATGATCTTAAGTACCAAGACTCAACTTCTCAGTATGGTTTGGAGCGCTTCTTTATATACGATGGCTGTCACAGGAGGCAATGGATGAAGAGTTCCTGTTACAGCCTGCTCAGGCTTTCCAAATTGATGTGGATTTACATTTTGCAGGTGCATCTGATGGTTCTTGTAAGTCTTCCCTGCCTCTGCAGAACACCAGCAGCTGGTGCAGGTACAACGCAGTAGAGCTGAGAACATCCCTCTTCCTCCTGTGCTATTGAGAAACATTAAATTTGGCCTTAACTCTTTTGAGTGCGGTTTCAGATCAGAAAGAGGAAAGGGAGATTTAAATTAAATAATACTGCTGTAACTAAAACATGCAGGAAAACTGAAAGTGGGATTGTACCTACCCCAATGAGGGCAGCAGACATGCTAGGAAGCTTCCAGCAGGAATGCAGAAACTCTCTGCCCAGAAGCTATAGTTTCTAAAACCTCTCCAGGTTCTCTGTGCTCACAGAGCAAAGGAGTTAGAAACCTGTTGACATTGATCCAACATGCATGTCCCATCTCGGGCAAGAGACACAAATATATATGTTAGATTGATTTACTGCAGTGAAAAGTCACCACTACAACATTTCTGGAAACGAAGGCTGCAGAAGTGTTTTGCCCCAGTCGAAATAGCAGGCTCTGATTTCAGCTTTTAAGGGTTGATTTGAGCTCTAAAAGCAAACAGAAAACCCATTGTATCTTCTGACCTAGCTGAAAAAGTTATTTTAGATGTAAAAACCTGAAGCATTTAATCATCACCAGTATAATCCAGTTGAAATATTCTCCTGTTGCAAAATCTGCCCCCTACACACACAATTCCAGTGCAGCACACGCAAGTCAGCTCTCCAGCTAGAATCTTCCCTTACTTTCACGCTAGGAGTCACCTTCCCCTCTACAGCCTTCAGCAACAGCAGTTTACATCCCAAGAGGCTTCCCTGAAACTCCTTGGGAAAGGCTGTACCCAAGAGCTGTCAACCAACCACATCCTCATCCTTGCCTGTCCTACTCCCTTCTGGGTTGTGCAACCCCACCAGCTCACCACAGCCAACTCAGGGAAGTCAAATAAAGCAAGCTGTCAGCTCACACCTGGCACTCTCCTTCCTCTTAATGCAACTCCCACAGATCCTGGTTTTGTGTGTAGGTGTGCTGGTCTCCCTGGGGAGCCCCTGCCCCTGGCTACATGCACCTTGGACTATTAAAGCCAAACCACAGCTAGAGAGGAGCACATCCATCGCTGTGAACAAGTGGAGACTGCTTGGGTTTGAGCATTGCTAAGACAGAGCTGCAGAGTAAATACTGCTGTACTGCACAATCCAGAGCACTGACTTCAGCAGAAGTTGTAACTCTTGCAACAGTTTTGCTCTTCTGCTTGTAGATCCTGACCAGCATCTTCTAAGACTATCAGTCCCTGTACGATTTAATGTTTTCTGAATTGACACAACACAAGGGCTAAAAGAACAATACAAGCTCTTTATGCCATTGGTTGCATAAAGCTTCGGGGTGTTCAAGTTTCTTGATGCCCCCAAATCTTGCTGTACTTTTCCAACATTAACTGTATTTTTATCTCAAATTACATACCTTGGGGAAGAAGGGCAAGATGGAACAGAGAACAGGACAAGACTAACTTTGCTACTGGTTTATACATTAAAAAACCCAAAACCCTCTAGCATCCAGGCTTCAAATCAGCTTTAAAGAAAATCATACTGTACATAAAAGCTCCTAAGTGAAAATACTGACATTAACATTGGTTACAGTTAACAATTTAGCTTAAGCCCCTAACCCAAACAAGGCCAACTCCCAAGGTACACACATTGCCATTTTCTTTTGCAATCGCTTGAGTTCATAACAGCAGTAAGTACAGAGTCAACAACCAACAGGCAAAGCAGCATTACAGACACGTGCTCAAGACTTCCTTCTAGAGAAAGGTTTATCCACAGTGCAGCTGCAGGTATAAACAGTAAACAACATCTCATCTCGCCCCTCCACCTGCTGTGGGGTTAAGGATTCAGTATGCGAGGACAGAGCATCAGGCATTGCTTCTTTTTTTCAGCCTGAATGGAGACTGCCACTTTCTGAGCCCATACTGGGGGGAAAAAAGCACTTTGAAAAACACAGAACATTCTTTGATCAATGACTATAGTCCTCAATAGAATCTTTTTTCTTCCCATTCTCAAGTGCAGTTAAAAACCAACTTCTCAGCATCTTTAGATCTCTTCCTGATTGATTTATAATGTATTTTATTCCAAAAAGCACTACCTTAGGCTTCCCTACCTCATACATCCACCAACACACATACATTCCTTTTGGAACCTCAAGACTCAACAGGAGGGTCTCCCTGACAGTTCTGTCTGACCCTGTCCTCTGTGCAGTAAATACTCAAGTGCACCTTGCCACTGAATCTTGTTAAACCACTGTCACATTTACTATCAAACCTTGTTTTACATCAGTAAACATATTGCTGCTTCTCTCTTATGAGTGAAGTGCAAAACTCCATCCGCGACAACAGGCAGCATCCTCACATCTCCGGTTACCACAAGTCAATGAAACCATCAACGCGGTGATTCATCCACTGCCCTTTAATCCACGGCTGGTCCAAGGGAGTAAATGCACACATCCCTTTTAAGAAATAAATGTAAACATTCAGATGAAAGAAAACTGCTTGTGGTGGTTTTGATTTAAACACTGCCTCCAGTTGCCATGGCCTTCATCATGGTACACTTACGCCTGGTTAGTAGTGCAGAGAAACCTGGCCTTCAGAGCTGATGTGAGCTCTAATGGCATTTTGCAAGAGCTTTGTCCTTGAGAGAGGGAACAAAACAAAAAACCCAAACCAGCTTCAGGCACCAGTTAAGGTTTCATCATCACTCTTTCCCCCTCCAACATCAAGAAGATTCTGCAGAGGGCTTGCCAGCATCCCACAGTTACTGTTCCTTTTATACAACTTTTGCTCACAAGTGCTGTAATCTCTCCTCCTAGACCACGTTCCAGATGTTAAAAGGGTGAGCCACTGCTGTGAAGAAAGTCCTTTCACCAACCAAAGTGTGCTTGAAAATACAAGCAGCTGAAACTTTTTTCATATTTTAAATTCTAGAAAACAACGTATCAACTTTTAGATGCAAGTACTTCTGCTTAATATGCACGCATTATACATTTAACTGAACAAAATCATGACAATAGACTCAATTTTGAATTTCAAGTCACACTGTTACTATCATCCATGGCAAAACAAGAATCTAGGGAAGCACAAAACAAGAAATGCCATTTACTACTACAGGCGAAGAACACTTTCACCAAAATTAGCGCTCTGCCATACTACAGCAAGTACAAATTAATCCATCATCCTAAGCCTAGCACGGAACAAGGGAGACTATGAATCATCTTCATTTTATGGATGCAGAAGAGGATTTACAAAACCATTAAGTGACTTGTTATAGCAGAGGCTTCAGACTGTAAATCAGCATGTACCTCTCCAGCTCACTACCTTAACCATCAAGGCAAAGCAGCTTCCCCCCCACCCCCGATAAGGTACCCAGTGATACATAAACACAGATGGAATCTTATATTTCAAACAATATGCATTTCTTCAAATTAAAGCCTCTCAGTTTTCCCAGTGTGACAATTAGATGACAGAATGAAGCAACAGGTTCCATTTCTCATGAAGTCACTGGCAACACCACATTACCAAGTTGAGTTGAGTTGAGCTGTCGCCAAGACAGAGCGATAAGAATGAGAGATGAAGCATTTTAGAATCATTTGATTTCATATTCCTGGCTCTTCTGCTGACTCTATGCAGCTGGATCAAAATCAAAAGGCACATACATGCCACACTGTTCTGTCTGGTGTACTTAATATGGACCAAGACTTTCCAGTTCAAACAGCACAAGTCCACAATCTCTTTTTGGGGACTCTATAGTATTAAACTGGACAAGCGGAGTCAGATGAACAAAGGAGTCATTCAGAGGATGCTCAATGTGTCTCCAAATCAGCCAAGAGCCTCAAAAAGAATTCTAGCAGCTGTGCACATCTGGCTGGACAGAGAGAGCATACTGCAGAATACCAAGCTTAACGCTAGGAAAAGCGAGTGATCTCTATCAATCCCACAAAGTCTGGAGGTGAGCAGAAGGATGTTTCCTCCCAGGGGACAATAAAGGATGAATAATCAAGTGTACAAAAAAAGCTGTAAAATGTAAAAAGCCCAGGAAGGACACAGACTGCCAAAACTCATGGTGATAAACAGAGACAAAGAAAATGCCTTTACAATTTTGCAACTGATCAGAGAAGACAATACTCCCACCCAAAAGCAGGTCATTTTCTTGAGTACTTTTCTCAACAGCAGGAGGTGGTGTCACAGTACAGCTGCCAGACACTCCCCAGAGACACGAAGATCACAAGGCTTGACTTCAGCTGAAATATGATTTAGTGAAAGAGACAGCAATAGAGATTAAAACTTTAATTTAAAACTTTGCCAACAAAAATTTGATTACAAAAAGGGAAATTATCTGTACAAAATAAGAAAAGAGGTACTCATTTAACAAGAGACCATCACTGTCAGCATACACTGGAGGATGAACAGTGCTTCAGGTCAAGTGACAAGTGAGAAACGAATGAACCAAGCTCATAATATGGAATTCCAAAGTGAATTTTCCATAAACCAATGTAAATTGACCTGAAGCAGCTCAAAAGCTAATCAAGACTTATCAGAAGTCTACTTTCCTTGCAAACCTTTTTCTCTTAATTTAGGGAAGCAGGATGTGCTAGAAAGCAAGAGCCAGAACAGTGCACTGAGCCAGTACAATGACTTTTGCCATGCTTCCTCCCACTCAAACCTTCCCTCTGGCCTTCTCTACAAAAGTGCTTTGCAATTTGAGCATGCCAGGGGTTTAGCTGAGTCACAAACTATTGCATCTTCATGTAATAGTTAAGTCCTGACTCAAAATGAAAACAAATGTTTTGGAGACAGTGATATTACTATGACTAAAATGACCAGCTGCATCATGACTCCTATATAAATGAAGGTTCTCAAAATTTGTACTTTGAGCATCAAATGACATTGTCGGTCAATAATAGATGAATATTTACAACACTGTGGAGTCTTCTCTTCTGCCTGCATTTTATACAGGGACAAGAGCATTGTTAAAACTCATCACTGAATGGACAAAAATGGCAGGTGAGTTCTGAACTCCAAGTTTCTGTAAAACCTAAGCACACAATGAGATCATTACCAGCCTTCTACACTTTTTGAGAAGCCAAATCAAAACCTTGAGCTGCTATAAAGAAATGGAGCATGCACTTTTTTCAGGCAACCCAGCCTGAAAAAACTTCCAGGCCAACTGCTTGCTTTTCACTCAGTTCCATGTCATATAGCATTGACAAGTTCTTAAACCTTCAGAACCCAGCTTTACTGAAGAAACAAAGCAGTAATAAAAACATTTTGGCCCAGATTCACTTCACCTACTTACAGATACCTGAGACACCTAAGCTGGGGAAGAACAGCTTTCTGTGCTCTGCCAACCCAGTAAAAAAACCTTGCTAAAGGGAAATTTGGTCAGAGATTTGACTCTCATCCTAGTGAGAGTGCTCTTCTTTCTGAAACTATAAACCAAAAAGTAACCAACTGTATTGCAACTCAGAAGCCTTGGTTAAGCTCAGAGTAATTGTGTTCCTGGCTTCAGTGTTGTCATTTATGTGAACCCAAGCCTTACCTTGCTCACTAGCAGCTCCCATCTAGGGGAGTTGAGGACAGCTACTTTTAAGAATGCCATGAGACATGCATGAATCTTCCTTACAGCTGAGAAAACTGAGGTAAGTAAGAAGTTTACTCAAGTCCATGCAGTGAGTCAGTAACAACCGCACCTTGCAGCTTCCTGGATCTTCACCCTGTGCTCTACCCATGGAACCCACTATGAGGAAAATTACTCTGTACAGAATCATTCCCTTTTCCATGCCAAAATGTTTCACCAAAAGTAATAAACAGTGTATGCGATGTCTTATTTGACAATGAAAGAGTCCTGAAGTAAAAAAAACTGTTCTACTGTATCTTGACCCTGGAAAAATTATTTCCAGCTTTGATTCTTTGATGTCTTAAAGCTTTAAAGTTGAAGATTCAGATAACAAACATAATGCTGCAGTCAGTACCCTTTACATTAACCACAATGATAAGTTACATGTTCTAGCTTAAGAGTATTTGTGCTACCCAATTTTGCAATCAAAATAATAACCTTGAAGCCAAGAATTCACAGATCTTAGGGGAAAAAAAAACAAGCCAGCTAACTTCATTGTGAACAGAGCAAGCCTTATAATATGCCATGAAGAGTTCAGAGATTTCAGTCCTGTTAATATGTTATTGCCATTTCAAATGAAAGCCCTCTTATCCTTAGTCTTTCCCAGCCCATGCTGTAGCAAGTAGGACAGCACAGCAAGAAAAAAAGAATCCCCTCAAAACACAGCCTAACAATGGAAATGAAACATTAGCACTTTGCTTTATGAATGCAGAAGATAACAAATAATGTTTCCAAAGACCCCGGGACTCCAGTACAGCTATGGAAAAAGTCAGCCTCCTAAACTCAGGGGTTAGTTTGAATCATCTGCCTCACACTGGATTCTTACCCTACCAGTCAACAAAGCTTTCAATATACCAGGTGAGACATACCATTAGCTTGCTCCATCCCATCACGGAATAAGATGGCATAATGGATGTCTGTTGTGACACACAATACTGTATAAAGAAGGCTTTTTTTAATGGCAGAATCAAATTGGACACTACTGGCTAACCTGGAGTAAGATCTACATTTTTCCCTTCTGGAGTTTTTTATTTTTTCTTGAACCAGAAACATTCTTTTTTATCAGTTAAATCCAACAGTACTACAGAGAGCTCAGTTCTTAAGCATGCTCTGCACCAGGAAGGGTTGGTTCTACGTCCAATTAAAACTGAAGAGTTGGTGTTTTCCAAGGGCAGGAGTTCTTCACTGGTCACCTAGCCGGAAACCTTGGCCCCAGTTGTGTCTTCCACCACCCTGCTGATCTTCTGCAGCTCTTCTCATGCTAGCAGGTGGGACACCAAACCCCGACACTCCTCCTCTCCTATTTGGCAGCCAGCGATACCTAGGACAAGCCAGAAGAGGAGAGAGTTTGAGAAACAAATGTACCTTGGGGGTAAATGCCAGGCTACTTTTCCATGCACTTCCTTTTAGTTGCCAGGCTTCACAGTAATACTGGCTTTTCACAGTTTAATTCTCCACAGAATTCTTGCCAAATCTAAGCCCTCAGCACAATGAGAAATGAGAATTGTGGGGAACTTTCATCTCTGGGATATGGTTAAATAGAATAATCCAAACATAAGGGAAAAAACAGAGTGATCTAACATACAGCTTCTGCATTTTGCACGGGATGCCACCAATGCATAGTCATTTCAGCTCTATAACACACCAAACTCCTGCAAATCCCTTGTTGAATTTGACAACTAAAATCTGGAGCTCACACATAAAACCCAGATTCCTTTATACAAGAAAAATATTCCTGTATAGAAAAAGTTGTTCATTATTGTATTAAATGTACCTGTAATTCATCACAGCATCTTTTTTTTAACAAAACATTAGAGTGCAAAGGCAGAATTTATCCCTTTGTAGAGATATTTGCAGTACTTCTGTTCCTGCTTCTCAAATACAGAGAAAAATTAAATACACCTATGAGGAATCAAGAAAATTGCACATCACTAACAAGATTGATGGCAGTTTCAGAGCTGTTATTACCTTGAAAGACATTTCAAAAAATCATTTTGTCTTCTAATCTTTATGGAAAATGTGGTTTACCAGAAGGGCTTGAAAACTCAAACATGAAGTTGCTTACTCACTACAACTTGTACAGAAAGTATAACTGTAATTCAAGTTTGCATCTTCTATAACATAAACTACCTGCTTATGTTATAAAAACGGTTAACCGAGTTGCTATCTAAAGTTTGGTAGAGAAGGAATATTTACAACCCAAAAGGGCAACTGAAGCTACAAACTTCAGCTTCTGATGTAGTACTTAAATGCCAGAAGAGTAAAAAAGCACTTCAGAAACCAAGACAAGCAGTCTCAGTCAAGGTGACTGCTAAGGACTGTAAAACAGAAAACGTATTTTAGACCTGAACAAGTATACAACTGACTCCTACTATTGTTACAGGTTGCTGAACTGGTAGCTACTGTAATGATACATGGAAATACAGATAAAAGATCACTGACAGGAGAAAACTGGGGGTTTTATGGTAGTATCTGATAATTGTTAGAGAGTTCACTTTACTACAGCTCAATTCAAAAGCAGAACTATGACTTTTACTCTCACTCTTTAGAGTCGGTAAAGGACACAAGCCATCCATAGAGGTAACAAAGAACTCTCACATGGGCCATTTACAAGAAACTCAACATTTTTCATGCCTCAGCAGCACAGTCAATATGACAGTCTGAAGCAGGCTGATTTAGCAAAGTATATCACACCTTACAATCCCAGTAAATATGTCTGATGAACAATACAGAAAACTGGACCAAAGAAACAGTGAGCTATAGAATAAAGCCAGCTTACAGGAACTGAGGTGTGGACAGAAAATTCCTTCCTCCCAAATCCATTGGATATTTAAACATTAAGAAGAAATACAGATGTCCAACCAAATTTCCTATCAGCTCATTGATGACTCTGCAAGGCAAAAGAAAAAGAACTGTTTCACAAATTGCCTTCTCTGAAAATAAATGAGTGCCCATCTTCTGCCAGTTACTACTGTTCACCTGCCATGGGCATTGCTGAAAATTTCCCTTCCCTCAGCATTTTACAGCCGCTTCTAAAGATGAGCCAGCCTTCTGTGCCAACACATCCACAGGCTATTCCACCCTCCCTTCCAAGCCTTCTCTACAGTCTGCACTGAAAATGCAATTAAATACTTGTTTACACCAAGGAATTAGACCGTACAGCCACTAGTGTCCCAAATAATAGTCTGTTGAGCTTGAGAAGTTACTGCTGTTTTCACTGGACAACCTGTCTCCTGCTGTACTGAACTGTTTTGTTCCCAATTCTGCAAAAAACACTGCTGAATGGAGGCCCTTGAGTATCTTCTGCCATGCATAGAAACAGTAGGTATCTAACAGCAAGCAGTTTTCTCAAGTGACGGATGAGTCAGTAGGAGGCACTGCCAGAAAAGGGAATTTGGTTTTGCTGTACCATCTCCTCCTTTTATAAATCAACCACGTAACTTGTTATTATCACTAATTGTGTTACAGCGGCACCAAGAGGCCCAAACCAATTGAGGGCACCAATAAGAAAGACCGTGCACAGAGGGGATTTGTGCATCATGGAGTTTAGTCAAAGAAACCCAAGACAGACCAATGAATTCAGCAGGTGCTAATATGGCACTCTATTGCCATTTTTCCTTACTTCACAAGCTGGTAAAAACATCATGTTGGGCAAGGCTGTGAGGAAAAGTAGTAACAGCACTCTCAGAGTCAAGCTAAATTTGTTTCTAAAACTAGTAATGATGGTTGGTCATACAAGGTGATATCTTTCTTTACTGTCCAGTACTCTTTGGCCAGAAAAAGGCCTAATGCACAGATTTACTAGAAAATAAACCAATTTTTTATTACTTTCCCCTCACCTACATTCTGTAGCTCTCACATGCATCTTTCCTCTTCACTTTTATCTTAAATGTCCACCAAGTAACACTAAGCATTGTCAGATTATACAGCTTTAAGCCTCTTATTTTAATATCACTTCTAAATTCAGCAATAAGTTCAACAGCCACAAAAGCTTTTATAACTTCAAATTTGCCGTATAAATAAATACATACGATCCACCAATGATATAGTTGAATCCCAGAATAACCCATGGAAGGTAACAGGCCTGAAAAAGAAAGTAATGAAGACAGAAGTTGTAAGTACAAGTTAAGGATGTACTTAAGGTTTTAAGGATATAAACCTGCTCAACTTCCCACTGCACTAAGAAGTGTGATTATCATCTCAATGTTGTAGGCATTACACAAACCCTTTTATTACCTTAAGCAGATTCTATCTAACAAGGTAGGATACTCCAAACTAAGCCACCACTAACATTGTCAGAAAAATATCACTCATTTAAACTTTCTAAGTCTTCTGCACTCTATGTTCCACAGCACACTTCCATCTCAAAGTCCTAACATTTCTGATTTTAAGAAGGTCTGGAAACAATGATCAAAAGACTTCACTGGAAGATCTGGCAGAAACAGATGAGGCTGCACAGGAACAATTTAAAGTATCAACATTTTGTCACTTTGGTGTCACTATATTCAGCTTTTATCCAGTTGAATATTTATCAGGAATTTTTTCCCCTCTTTTCAGACTGATAAATCTCAGTTGTCACGACATCTTTCAGTAAAGCCACACTGCATGGAAGACCATGAAGAAATTTCATCTTTGTTGTATCTCAAGCTATGTGAAAGCATGGGACATCTTTAGTAAGAGAAAATATAAATGTTTTACTCCTCATCTTCATGTGCATCTTCTGGGCATAAACCTTTCCAATATCCTGTCTGACGTACCTTAAATCTTGTTCCAAACCAAAACGATACAATCATGTCTCTGTTCAGCTGGGCCCACACATAAAGTACTGACATGATGAGTGGAATCATCAGCAACTACAATGTCAAAAACAAGGCAAAAAGTTACCATTACTTGCACAGAAGCCTGAGAAACTTAAACAGGTAGCAGAAACTATAAGCTTCAAAATGACTTATAAGCATGATACATCAGCAAAAGCTTAAAGACTGCCCCAGAATCTCTGCCATCATGTGTCATAGATCTGTTCAAAGGTATTGAGAAAGTTAAGCAGAAGAACCTACTTGGTCATTCTCTTTTGCAAGACCATGCCAAAGCAAAGGGCTCCAACTTGCACCCAGTGAAAGAGCAGCTGTGGCAAACTCTGTTCCCAACTGCTTGATAGCATACCTACACCAGAGTCAGCGATGTGCCTGTGCCACAATCCTTTCCATCACAACCCAGGGCACTAACCCAAACACACTCATCTGGGGCAAAGCTAATACATCAGATGAAGTCCTACTCCACCAAATTGCCAGCTATGTCCCCCTCAGGGCACCACAGAGGGAAGGTGCATGAGTAAATCACCACTTCAGAGTACTGCAGCCAGCCTTGGCAAAGCCACCTTGGAAGAGCTTGGAGTTAACCCATGCTCCATGCCAGGAGATGAGACCGTTTCAAATACCTCTTTACTGTGACTATGTATTAGCTCATGGGCTATTTCTAGTGAAACAAATACAAAGCGCTATTTAAACTATGCTGATTTCTGAACCTAGAGACAGACCGTGCCAGCAATATTTCTGTGAGCTGGTTTAATGCTATGAGCCAGCTGATGTGTTTGGAAGAGAGGTTAAAAGTCATCCCTTCAGGGGTGCCACTATTCAACAGGTTTCATGCTAAAGCCAGCACACGGGCACCAGTCCAGCTTTCCCCACGCCCTGCAGTGCACCAACAGCCTGACTCATCACACAAGCACCTCTGGGTCTTTATTTAAACTATTTTTATTTTACTGGAAAAAGAAAGTAATATCTAATTTCTTAAAGTATTAGAGATGACAACAGAGGCCCAGCTATCCTACTCTACCTTCTCACTTTCAAGCAAGCCGCTCAATACAAGGAAAAATCCCTTATTTGGAAGAAAAGTACATCTGCACATAAATCAACTAATTCTCTTTTAGGCAATACTTTATATGCAGATATAAAACAATTTTAAGTACCTTTATAAAAAATACAAATCAATACAATCAGTCTAAAATTCATGCAACACATGGGTGGCTTCAGAATGCTTTTAAAGAATTTTGGGGCACCTTCCCCACAGCAGAAAAGGTTGAAGTGGCTTTATAAATAGCCCTTAAACAGAGCTCAGCGTTGACTGCAGATGCACAATCCCTATTTCTGTCTACCAGGGGAGCCTGAGAAGTGATCTAATAAATTCTAAGATAATTTTGTACAGAATATTAGAGATATTAGTATAGGCTTTGAGTGACAGGGACATAATGAGATGAGAACAGCAGAGGCAGGCTGAAGACATGCAGTTATCTGATACTCTGTTGTGTCCAAGAAACACTCCTCCATTTCCCCCTTAATATCTGGGGAGATAAGAACTACCTCAGAGAAACTGATTCTTTAGACTAGTATTTTAACTATTCTCGTGAGGATTTTGCACTTCACAGTTCTGATCTGAATCTGAAGCTGCATTTTTCCCCCAGAAGATCTTCTGTTGGCAAATAAAAGGCAGACTAAATTTAAGACTAATGAACCCAAGAATCATTTTTAGATAAAAAAGTAAGAATGCAGATCCACATTCAACAGAAGAAACAGAGCATAGGTGACATCTTGTGTCCATTTTAGTAAAAGACTGAATGCTTCCTGACTGCACAAAGAGCCAGTATTCACTCCTTGACTCCCAAACTAAGTTAGGAATGGCAGAGTCAGATACAGGCTTGTAATGCCAGCTGAGGCTGACCCAAACTTAAAACCTAACAATACACACACAGCAGTCCATTTTGATACAAATTAAACCAGCCCAGCTTAACTATATCCCACAGTTATGTCGATAATGCTCTCTATAAAGTCATTATGCAGCCAGAAAGTTCCATAAGCTTATTATATAAGAAACTGTCCCACACTTACCTGCATGTCCATTGCCAAGCCAGTTATCTACCATTGCACCATTGAGGAAAATGCAGTAAAACCTGATAGACTAGAATAAAACAAAGCTGCACACACACACTGAACACATATGCAAAAACCTTTAATGTTTAAAACTGTGTAGTATTAAGTTAACCACTGGAAAAAATGCAAAACCTCCAATGATCTACAGATTTACACAGTTTCAGTAACTGCTTTTCAGTAGCTTTTCAAGCTACCTCCTCAAGTCATTATTCCCAAGGGCTGATGGACTGGCCTTTCCTCCCTGATGAAATCGGCTAACTACAAACTCCATCAGTCCATCCATAAAAGCCTGTTACAAGTTTAACAGGTGGATTCTTTCATTAGTTTTTTTAAAGACTAAAGTGTTGGTTTTCTAACTAAAGAAATACTGGATCATTAAAAAAATACCAATATATTGACACTGAGTCACAGTGAAAAAAAATAATTTGAAGGCTTTTTATAGTACTCTGCTACCTTGGAACCCAAAGGATCTGCTTGCTGTAGTTAACTGCTGAGCAGAAACAACTGCTGAAGAATTTTGCTATGATCAGAATGCTTTTAACAGTTCATGAATACATATAAAATAGCATCAAGCATTTTCCCAGATCATGTTTCCAGGTTGCTCCTTATATCACATAGGGAACAAGCAACTGGAAGCTCTTAAATGACCACGTTGAAAGTCAAGTCACAATCAGATTCACCTAATAGCTCACAGGCAACAGCCTGCAATCACAATGCAGCTGGTAGTTTTCTTAACATAAGTAAATGCATGTTGTTTGCCTGGTTACTGCTGTGGTTCAACAAGACTAGCAAGAGCAGCAATTCCCTCCATACAGTGGAATGCAACTGGAGATAGTTATCTATTGATAAAGGCAACAGCATTTCTACAGGCTAGCTCTCCTGGCTCTATCTGGTTCACAATGTCACCACCCCCTTTTTTCCAAATGCTGTGCCACCTCAAATTGCTACAAAGAAGTGACAACAGCACAGAATGGGAGCATCTCCAAGGATGGAGGTCCCACAACACCTCTTGACAACCCATGCCAGTGCTGGACTTTCCTTACAGTAAAAACAGTCTTCCTTACATTTAAACGGATTTTTCTGAGCTTCATTTTGTGCTGGTTCTCTCATGTCCCACCACTGAGCACCAGTGAGAGAAGCCTGGTTCCATGTCCTTTACTTCCTCCCACATTAGGTATTTATTCACATGGAGTACTGCATCCAGCTCTGGAGTCCTCAGTGCAGGAAAGACATGGACCTGTTGGGAGCTGGTCCAGAGGACAGACACAAAAAGTATCAGCAGGATGAAACACCTCTCCTATGAAGACAGGCTGAGAGAGTTGGGGCTGTTCAGCCTGAAGAAGTCTCGAGGAACACCTTATTGCAGCCTTTCAATACTTTGAGGGGGCTTATAAGAAAGATGGGGACAGACTTTTTAGCAGTGCCTGTTGCAATAGGACAAGGGGTGATGGCTTCAAACTAACAGAGGGCAGATTCAGGCCCGATATAAAGAAGAAGTCTTTTATGATGAGGGTGGTGAACCACCACCTACAGAGAGGTAGAGGTAGTAGATGCCCCATACTTGGAAACCTTCAAGGCCAGGTTGGATGGAGCTCTGAGCAACCTGATCTAGTTAAAGATGTTCCTGCTTACTGCAGGGAGTGGGAGGTTTGGACTAACTGACTTTTAAAAGTCCCTTCTAACCCAAACTACTCTCTGGTAAGACACCCCTGAGCCTCCTGTTCTCCAGGCTGCACAACCCCAGAGCTCTCTCAGCTTCTCCTTATGTGACAGATGCTCCAACCCTTTAATCACCTTTGTGACCTTTCACTGGACTCACTCCTGTATGTCCATGTCTCTCTTGTATTTGGGAACCTGGAGCATGATGCAGCCACCCCCGTACATCTCACAATGGCTGAACAGAGAGGAGCAATCACCTCCCTCAAGCTGCTGGCAATGCTTTGCCTAGTACAGCCTATGAGGCCAGTGGCCACCTTTGCCACAACAGCACATTGCTGGCTCAGGGTCAGCTTGGTGCCCAGGAGGACACCAGGGCCTTTTCTGCCAAGCTGCTTTGCAGACTGTCAGTCCCCTAGCCTCTCCTGGTGCTTGAGGCTGCTCCTCCCCAGGGACAGGATAACTTCCCTTTACCAAGCTTCATGAGATTCTTGACCAACACATTTCTCCAGCCTCAAAAGGTCCCACAACCATCTGGTCTTTCAACAACTCCTCCCAGTTTTTGGTATCCAAAACTGAAAAGAAAATTCAGCAAAACAGCAAACTTCATGAAAAAACCTGTTTACCCACAGTCCTAAACCAAGAAGTACAGTTTCTTCAGGAAGTTGGCTCAGTGCACTCCTTTGACAAACGCAGCTGACTTGTACCCAGTAGGTAAAGGGTCTCTCCATAAGCCACCTGAATTTCCAACTCAGGGATTAGCAGAGATCAGACCTATTTGCACAGGGCAACTTCAACACACTAAATTCACTCATGCAGCAACCCCTAGAAGTATCTAAATGAAGGAACAGAGAGAACAACCACAGAATCCCATACAACATGATCTGAACTTTATGTAACCAGAATTCTAGACCCCAGATCACATACTTGTATTAGTAGGTATGCACATGTAGTAGTATTCTCCCTGCAAATCACTTGCTACCTTTCCAGAGATGAAAAACTCACCTGTGAACATTTGCGACATTATAACACTGTTAGTTGCTAACAGTTGCTATGGTCTTTGAACATATTTCAGGCAGAAACAGGAGAACCAAAATATTCTAAGTTTGATGATGAGCAGAAGGATACAACAATGCAGATCCAGTTAAACAGCAGCATGAACATGTAATCTGCTGGCCTTCCATCAAAAGCCCCTGTAAATAAAAAGAATTATTAGGAAAGATACTGAAATCTTGATAAGAAAATAAGAGGGTTTTTTTTTTTTACTTTAGGGAGTCTAAGAAAAGCTCAGCTAATAACAGTTGTGCCTCTGCATGTAGTCTGTGGTTTATCGTTTTTATTTAATTTTAAAAAGCCTTAAAATAGAACAACCTACAAACTAAAACTTAAGATATTCAGCCTACTGCATTAAGGGCACAGTGTTTCTACTTAAAAAAGAACACACTTTAATTCTGGAGATAAGTTGTTTTAACTTCATAGAACTTCAAAATAGAGTTGGACCCCATCCTTTGTAAGAAGCTGCCAGTCAGAAGCACACAATAAAGAAATACACTTGCACAGCAAAGGCAGAGACACCACGTTTAACAATAGAGTCATGTGAAAACCAGTCTTTACTTAGGCAAATTGCATCCGCTTTGCATCATCTGCTCAGACTCAAGAGATACGTTTTCATACTCCAGAAAAAATAATGTATATGACAAGGAGGGTACACGTGCAGATCATTCTGTTCCTTCTTCTAAGCTGAACTGTTTGCTTCATTCCCTATTTCAAATGTGCGTCAAATTTTTTCAGGACAGTGGAAATAAAAAACACCCACAGACAAAAACCAGAGTAACATTCCCTGCAGGTCGTACTTCATGAAATTACATTTAGATGCCCAGTTGAGTTTGGGACCTGGCAGAGACAAGGGTTAAACACACACACACACCCAACAGCTCCTTGCAAACATGAAAATCATAAGCTCTCAGTCTTGCAAACTGTGGCAAAGGGCAGCCATGGACCTCAGCATCTGAGCAAGACTCCTACCAACTGCCACATAGCCCCCCACAGACAAGGAAAACCTGAGAATACCACTGAAACAGACTCAAAGCACTCAGTGGCAAACTCAGCGTACTACAAACAATCTGAATTATGTGCTAACAATAAAACAAAATGCCTAGGAAGAAGACCACTGCTTAATGTTAGCACTGTTTGACTTTCTACAGGTATTTCACATGTCTCCCAAAAATGAAAGAAAAAAATCTATTAGCTTTTTGGAATAACTACAGGAATTCAACCTATGTAAACCAAAAGTCATATTTTAATCATTTTATTATTTAAGTTCAGCCATGTAAGTTACATGACAGGAGGAAAAAAAACCCACACAAAACATTTCAAAAATATTCTTTGAAAAGTTTTGAAGTTGGAGACTACATAAACTGGAAGTTTTTCCTTACCATTGCCATGCAATAAATAGAAACAAATAAAAAGGAAGCTGACTAACCCTATAGAGACTCAGCACAAGAATTCCTCCAGAATAGGAAGAAATCAAAGCAAATGTTATCCCCTTAAAGTTTTTCACTTCTCATTACCTAGGAGATTACTAAAAATAATACTGGACAAACTATTTAAGTTGACTTTCCAACATAAGAGGACTGAGCTACACACTGCAAAAAAGCTGAGCACAAGGGCAAGGTGAGCTCTAGCCCACTAGGTCCTTCAATAGGGCCCAGGGTATAATCCAGTCATCAGGGACAAGCTGCAGACTCATAACCTCATCATCCATACTGCTGGGGAGTGAGCTGCATATTCTCCTTTCCCTGTTGATATTTATTATGTTCTGCTCCAACAGAAACAAAACAAAATCCCACCAAGCTCCTTTCCTCAGGAAGCTACAGGTCAGCTTGTTCAGAAAGCACAAGCACAGTACAAAACCAGATGGGTATTTTTGACAGCTAAATTTGAAGCTAGCATGCAACACCAGTGTATGCTCAAAAAACCACGTGCAATCCTGAAAACAGAAGTTTCACTTCCTCAGTTCCACAGACAAAAGGAGGCATAGACCCATAGATCCATGCTGATTTCCATCTGTGAACATATTATCAGCAACTTAGACATCATCCACTCTCAAAAGGATTCAAACCTTTTTTTAGAGGGGAGGACTGATATAATCAAGAACTTCATTTATACACAGAAAAATTACTATAATATAAAAGGAATGCATTGATTCAAACAACAACAACACAGCTGACTTCCCAGTTTCAAAATCCAGATGCATTGTACAGCAGGAATGTCAATTTACTGCTGGAAGAACTAACTTCCTTTCATGAGACTTCTGCCACAGCACAACCAACCAGAGAATTTTGTAAGTATAAGACATGTGATGTAATTTGCCTATATTAATTCAGAACTCTTACTACACACAGCTTTGCACAGTAGCTGCCAGCACCCTCATGTGTTCACAATACACTGCAGAAATGGAGGAACTGTTTCTAGCTATTAAACTACTACTTACTTTAACTAAGAAAACAATCAAATGCAATCTGACAGCACTCCTCCATATCACTGTTACTATTACAGCTTACATGGGATTCTACAATGCTGTCTGGATGACAGGCTTAGCAGGGATCTCTTCTCTATGGTGGGACTTCCCAAACATCAGCGTGCAATGCATTTCCACTTACACCATCAGTTCTAAAACGCCATTAGAATTACAGTGAAATTCTTATTCATCAAGGCTTTCAGAAGGAGCTTGGCTTTGCAAGTAATTTAATTATTTACTTCCACTGAAAAAATTTCTCTCTAGCTTTAATGAACTGTGCAATGCAAAATGAAACCAGTTTTAAAGCTACCTTGTAACAACAATCCCTTTTTTGAAATGATCCATTACCTGGTCTCCTTTCTTTCACTCTTAATTTTTCCCCCTAACTGAAAATCCATCTTGTTCCTAGCTTTTTCACATTTCTGTTGGGCAGAGCATACACAAAATAACACAGGCAAGCATCCCTTTTAAAAGAAAGAAAAATCTGACATTGTTATTTTCTCAAGATGGATAAATCCATTGCTATATATGCTTTGTCATCCTTCTCTGTTAAAGGACGTCAGTCACAAGAAAACAAGAGGTAATGTCATGTTTTAATCTCCCTCACCCATTTCCTGAAATCCAACAACAAAAAGCACCAGGCCCTCCTATTGAAGCTTTGGGCAGTTCTGGTGTCCTCAACATAAAGAGGATATGGAGCTGTTAGAGCAAGGCCAGAGGAGGCCACAAGGATTATCAGAGGATGAAGCACCTCCCATACAAAGACAGGCTGAGAAAGTTGGGGCTGTTTAGCCTGGAGCAGAGAAAGCTGCATGGAGACCTCAGAGGCGCCCTTCAGTATCTGAAGGGGGCCTACAAGGGTGCTGGAGAGGGACTCTTCATCAGTGACTTTTGCGACAGGACAAGGGGTAATGGGTTCAAACTTAAATAGGGGAAGTTCAGGTCAAATATAAGGAAGGAGTTCTTTATTGTGAGGGTGGTGAGGCACTGGAATGGGTTGCCCAACAAAATAGTGAATGCTCCATCCCTGTTAGTGCTCAAGGCCAGGTTGAACAGAGCCTTGGGTGACACGGTCTAATGTGAGGCATCCCTGCCCATTGGCAGGGGAGTTGGAACTAGATAATCTTAAGGTACTTTGTAACCCTAACCATCCTATGATTCTAGAGTATCAAGTTCAGATCCTAAATGAACAGGCTCCCTGCCAAAGGGAAGGAGCCAGTCACAGACAGACCATTTTCAGAGTAGTTTCCCATTGACTAACATAAGCAGGCACAGAGACAAGTCACCTTTTTCATGATTCTGACCGAATCAGCTACAATGCCATCGCCACAAACGTTCCCAACAGAAGCTCTGATAGTGCTTAGTCTCTATCAACTCCAGGCAGAGTTCACCATGTGCATACAATTTAACAGATAACATACCTGTTTCTAATCGTGATGAATATTGATACAAGAAATACAAATTCACCAAGTAGAGAAATCCTGTTCCGGGTCCCACTGGGAAGAAGAAAGTTGCAGTTATCGGCCGCCAGATCTGTCCAGATCAAAAGAGAAAGATATATTTATACACTGTAGAATGAACACATATGCATAGCTTTCTTGCTCTCATTCGCTATCAATTACTTAGAAGATTAAGGAGATTAAAATAGCCCAAGTATCAATTATTGCTGCTTCAGCAGCTTTTACAGCTGGCTTTTTGTTTTGTTGATCGGTGGTTTTTTTAAATCTGACAAGCAAAGCTATTAAGACACAACTTCCCAGATTGCTTCCATCACATCTTCAATATTGAGTCTTTATTGCAGTGGAAAAGGGATAGGCTTGCAAGGATGCTACCCTGTTTTAAAAGCACCCATACAGAACCCATCCTTACCTGTTGAACAGAGGCCAAGAATTCACACAATAGCCTTTAGTGCTCCATTCCAGACAGCATACACTGCTCTGAGTGTGTTGCACCTGCTTTAGAGTCTCCCAGCTATCAATACTGGGCACAGCAAACTGCACGGCAGGGCACAGCAAGGGCAGAACATGTCTGGCCATTTGTGACTGAGCTTTTTAAGCAGCACCACCTCCAAATAGAGTACTGGGATCCTCACAGTTTCAGAAGGAATAAATTTTGGGGACAGTATGTGAAACCAACTACAGATAGCACTATCTTTTTTTTTTCCCACTCAGCCTTTTTCACTGAAGATATAATGAATGCATATAATATATTTTTAAAGGCTGGAATCTTTTATCTTCCTTCACTTTCATTTTCATTTTCAGTCCATCCAATGGGTGCTCTCCCCCTACACTCCACAAACCAGAACACTGTACCTGTAACCTCTCAGTGCGAGGAAAATGACTATAATCAGATTGCGACCACTTTTGATACTGCTAATACACCCAGAAACACTGCACATCTGAAACCTCGGGACTTTAGCTGTTAGTTTATGTCAACCATAGCTAGGCAAAGCAGCTGACAATCCCAAACACACAAGCGTTTTCAAATTCCCAGCAAGAAGCTGCAAAAGATGCTTTTCTTTAGCCTTGCCTCAGTAGCGTCAGAGCAACTGGTTTGGGACGGTTGCACATCTGCCTGTAACCCTTGTTCTCAAACTCAAAATCGCACAGCAGAAGCTGGGCAAGTCACCTGAAGTCACAACCACAGGTTTTATGATTGGTGCTTTGGCACAACCACAGGTGCCAGCCAAAACAATGGCCCCTAAAACCACAGGAGAAAAAACATACCAGATTCAGACAAAAGAGAAACTACAGGACCCCTGAGGGGCCCCAACCCTTCTTTCTCCCACCTAGGGTCCCGGGCAGGGCCAGGCACCACCGTCTGTCACCTTGGTGTGGAGCCCGGGGCCCGCAGAGGCAGACAACAGCTAACCCCGGTGCTCAGCCGCAGGCCTTATGTAGGTTATGCAGGAACCCGGATTCCCGCTGGAGGTGACCGCGGTGACTCTAACGGGCTGCTCGGTGGGCGATTCCCTCCGGGGCGGCAGGGACACGACCGGGGCCCAGACTCCGCCGCAGCCCTGGCCAGGCCGCTTACTACAACTCCCAGAATGCCCAGCGCGCCCCGGACCGGGCTCCCTCCCGGCGCGGGCTCCGAGGGGCACACCGGGAGCTGTAGTGCGGCCCGTACCTGGAAGCGGTTGATGAAGGCGTCGGACCAGAGGAAGAGGTAGACGGGGCTGACGAGGCCCAGTTTGCCGATGAGCGGCACCGCGATGGAGCCGGCAAACCAATAACGGGTGATCAGAGGGATGCTCCGGAACCAGTCTCCCAGGTCCGACATGTCGCTGGCGTTGTCACCGCCGCCGCGGCCTCGCTACGAACCGACCGCTGAGGAAAGGGAGAAGCGAGGATCCGTCAGCGCTGCTCCCGCCGCCGCCCCAGGCAGGGAGGGGAGTCCTGCGCCAGACGTGGCGCCGCCGCACTCAGCCGAGCCGCCGCCACTTCCGGCCCTGCCCCTAGGCGGCCGGGGCAACCCCAGTGCCGGAAGTCCCGCCTCCCGGAGGAGGGGCAGTGCCGTTGCCGGGTGACGATGCCGCCAGTGCCACTCCCCGGCAGGCTGATATCCGGGGGGGAAACAACCGCTTCCTTCCTACTGTTCTCCATTGGTGAAGCGGGAGTGGGCTGTACCATGCGTGCGGCGCCCCCCGCGTGGAGGCCGTTGGAGGGGCCGTGAGGGAAGGTGGCGAGCGCGGGAGCGGCAGCGTAGGGCTGAGCATGGAGAGCTGCGACCTGGGCGACCGCCAGGATGGCTTCATTTGGCACCGCAAGCCCAGCCCGGCGGCACCGCGGGGGTAACGGCACGGGAGGGCGGTGGCGGTGCAGGGCCGATCCAATCTCGCACAGCGCTGCCGGGACTTAGTGCCGGGCTCCCGGCCGCCATGGCCCTCTTCGGTGCTGCGCTGCAGAGGAGAGGCCGAGGTCAGGGAACGGAGCGGGTAGGGCTGTCCGGAGCCCACCTGAGCTTTTCTGCAGGATATCCCCGTTGAAGGCGGAGCAGGTCCCCAAGGAGGCTGCAATCAGAGATGCTCTCAACGTGGGCAGTCATCCCAGTTATTTTTTTGGTTTTAATTGTACTGGACAAAATGCCATTGATGGATTCCCAGACTTTAATCACTGTGAGGGTGGTGAGGCACAGGGTGCCAGAGAAGCTGTGGCTGCCCCATCCCTGGCAGTGTTCAAGGCCAGGTTGAACGGGGCTTGGAGCAACCTCGTGTATTGAAAGGTGTCCCTGCCCATGGCAGGGAGTTAAAACTGGAGGAGCTTTAAGTCCCCATCCAACCCAAACCATTCTGTTATTTAGACAGGAGATGAAAATATTATCTGGCCCAAGCTGAAGAGCAGCAGTGTGAATGTTGCTTTGGGGTACTTGTATGTTGCTTGAACTGGGGAATCTGGATGCAGCTCTGTGAACTCCTAGCTTTATTCTCCTGGGTTAGTTGTGTCAAAGAACTTTTGAAAGGCAGAGAATGATGTTGAGAAAGTCCTGTGAGATGCTGTAGCTACACTTGCATTTCAGGGTACTTTTAAACTCAGAAGTCATGCTTCAGTTGTGGCTTTTTATTATATTAAAGACCCTAACATCACTAAACTTTAATTATAGTTTAGAGTAGTTTAACATCTTTCTAATTTCAGTTCTATGGCCCTTTCCTTTTATTGCAGATAAGAATGGGCTTAATAGAATGAGGTGCTATTAGTTTTCCATGACTGCATGGCTTCTTCCCATATTCACTCACAGTTTGTAGTATACACCAACAGTTGTATGCAAGTGCTGGGTTGTGTGTTCTGCCCTCTTAGAAACTGAAGTCTCAGACAGCTGTTAGCATCTTCTATAGCCGTGGTCACAGTATTTGGCAAAAGCCCTGCAATCTCTAATCAGCCTGCAGATGCCCTATACAGTTTTGGATGTAAATTCAGAGTATAACTAAATATCTACGTGCTGACAGAAAATAATTGGTTTGCCCAGTGTTAGCAAAAAAGAATCCAGTAGTAGCAGATTTCCCAAATCCTAATGTCCTGTTTCCTTGAAAAAAACTTCTTACAACTTAGTCTGCGCGTGGGCTTTGGTTCTTGCACCAGGCTCCATTTTATGCTGACAGCATGCTACAAGGATAAAATGAGAAGAACCAGCAAGTCAGATTACATTATATCAGCTGAGTAATGATAAAAAAAACCTTTCTTCATGCTTTTGATGACTCTGGGGAAAAAGTGGTCTTAAAACCGATTTCCCCCATCTAATCCAACTGGTTTCTTGCAGTAATTTATAGCTTCTGAGTTTTCTAGTGTATTTCTTTACAGTGATAATACAGGTTCCTTGTTGTTCCAGGTTCCAGAGTGCTGAATTGGGCCTGCCTCTAGACTGGTAGAAGATACATCAGCATATATCCTACTGTTACTTACCAGACACCACATAAAAGAATAGTGAATGGTGGATTTCCCCTATCTGCTTTACATGTTTCCTAACTGCTGTCCAATACAGTGAATGACTTCCTTTGTTTAGTATATTTTTTATGTTAAAAATGTGTTTTTTCAAGGAAAATTTTTTCATAGAACACTCTGAATAATTAGAATTGTAAACCCATAACTAGGAAGCCTAGGTTTGGAGAAACATACTAATAAACCAATTCTAACCATGGTTGTTTTGCTTGTTTTCTTCACAGAGTCCTAGTAAACATAATTCATAGTGTCAAAGGATACCATTCAAAGACAATACGTTTTCTGAACATGGCTTTTGACAGTGCTGGAGATTCTCTACTTGCTGGAGACTACCAAGGGAATATATATGTTTTTGACTTGAATGGAAACAGGTAAGAACATTTCTATCAAGACATGTTAATTGTCTTGACATCTGTAACATTCAGGGGCATGGAACTTGCTTAGGTAGCATGCCACAGGCCTGGGTTTACCCCTCAGTTCTCCATGAATATGGAGATAGCTGCTCCAAAAGATCAGAAATTTCTAACTTTAAGCTGAACAGACAACAATTTCATATAACTTTACCACACAAAGTTATTCTTTGGATGGTACCTGTGAGCCATGAACTAATTATCTAGACCTAGTGTTGCCATTTGCAGAAATATATTAATCAGTCTTTTAAATTTCATACTGTTTTAAAATATTAGCATTGATTTTTAGATTTATTATAATGAGATATGATTTATTGCTCCCTTTTGAGTTTTTTTTTCTCAGTGAATTGTATTAAAACTGATTAAGTTATTACTTCACTTGACATTATGAACCAGAGTTTCCTTACGCAATGAGAATGTGTATTTTGAAATAGGTTCAGCCTTGTTCAGAGAACAATGCAGGCTTGCACTGCTTTGGCATTTAATCTTCGCAGAAAGACAGAATTCCTGGTGGCTTTGGCAGATTATTCTGTTAAGTGCTTTGATACAGGTAAGGAGATATTTGAAGGCTTATGATCTGGATTGCTAGAAAAACATGTATAATTTTAGTGTTATGTCAAATTTTGGTAAGATTTTTGATGGAAAGCTTACTGTGCATTTTATGCCAAAACCAGAAAAGTTTGAGCCCACGTGGGTTATAGTCCTGAGGGTAAATGAACCCTTGCATTGTCAAAGTTTCTCAAGTCACACAGGCATCTGGTTAACTGAAGTCTAGCACAGGATCACAATTATGTATGTTACCTTTTTTAAAGTCATTCTGGGTATGTTTGCTTAGAATGAGCAAACATACATGTAAAATCAACCCTAAATCAGTTGGAAGTATGAATTTGAACCAAATTCAGTTGCAAATGAACCAGTTATTAATTATATTTACAGCAAAATATTTGAACAGAGGCAGTATACACTAAAAGAACTATCAATATGCAAGTAGATCTGTATTCTTTAAATACTGTAGATATTTAAAATGAACTTTACAGGCCAGCTGCATGTCTCTGTCTTGATTAGAAGTTAAATGGGTGAATTATCCTTAGAGATGTATTACATAATAGTTACTTGGTGGGCTTTACCTTCTTCTGTAGAAGCCATATTCTCTAATCCTATGTCATTGCCTCCTGGGTGGATGTTTTCAAGCACTAAATTCTCTTGTAAGCACAGCAGCAGGTCAGCTGGAACCACCCCATGGGCTGTCAGACAAACTACCCAGTGTAAATAGTGCAATTGCCACAAATACAGTTTGATTGCTGAGGGAAGATTAGTGGTCACGCAGTCACAAATAGGAGACAATGTAGTAAGAAGAACCATTTCCTTAGTATGCAATATACAGCATAAGAATGTTTCAGACTCTAAAAGAATTATTGAGGTGTTGCTTTCTGACTGTGCCTTTCTATAGTCATAGCCCATTGTCATTACACCTTTCTTCCTTGTACCTGTAAGTGGTTGTGTAATCACTCATACATATTGTCCACAAGTAAAAACAAGTGGAGAATTTTAACTAGAACACTGAGTCTCAACTTCTAGAGATTATTGTGGGTAATTTGATAATCTTACCTGATCACAGTGTTAATGACTTTTTAAGACTGATTCTTAGGTTAAATTAAACAAGTCTGTGCAGGAGAGTTGGGCTTGGTCAGCCTGGAGAAAAGAAGGTTCCAGGAAGACCTTAGAGCAGCTTCCAGTACCTAAAGGGGGCCTACAAGAAATCTGGAGAGAGACTTTTTACAAGGGCAGATGGTGACAGGACAAAGGGGAATGGTGTTAAGATAAAAGAGAACAGATTTAGATTAGATATTAGGAAGAAATTCTTTACTGTGAGGGTGCTGAGGCACTGGCACAGGTTGCCCAGAGAAGCTGTGGCTGCCCCATCCCTGGCAGTGTTCAAAGCCAGGTTGGATGGGGCTTGGAGCAACCTGGTCTTGTGGAAGCTGTCCCTGCCCATGGCAGAGGGTTGGAACTGGATGATCTTTAAAGTCCCTTCCAACCTGAAGCATTCTGTGATTCTGTGAAGTTGGTTTCCTGTGTGAAACTGAGAATAATTTATGAAAATTGTTACTTGGAGATGAGGAGATGGTTATATTTCTCTGAGGTGTAACAGCTATATGAAGACTGATATGTTTGTTTCTTGTCTGTGATGGTAAATGCTTATATATGAGGTATGCTTAAAAGTCTCTTTCCCAGCAGTGTTGTCAATAAAGAGTAAATTTGATTCACTTTGAATGACTTTCTTATCTTTTGATTTTTTTTCATCAACCCCTGCAGAAACCAAGGAGCTGCTTAGTTGGATGAGAGGACATGATTCTTCAGTGACTTCCATCTCTGTCCATGGCTCGGGCAGGTATGCCATCACTACATCCACTGATACAGCACAACTGTGGGACCTGGACACCTTTCAGAGAAAAAGGAAGCTGAATGTTCGTCAGTCTGTGGGCATTCAGAAGGTGAGTGAAGAGCAGTTGCTAAAGGGTGAACAAACATACCTCAAGAGGAGTGACATTGCATTTTAAAATCGCAATATTTGAAAATATTCTTTA